ACCACCCTAGGTAAAAGTGAACTCTGGGAATTTTTACCCTAAAACCAGAGCAGCATCAAAAGGTTCAGTTATCCATGCTTCTACTGGAAATGTTAATGCAACAGAAAGGCGGTTTTATTTAGCAAATGAAGACCGGGACATGCTGTCAGTGGTTTAATAGCTTTTTCATAAAAAAAAATAATAGAAGACTTACTGTGAAATTGAATCTCCAACACAAAGTTTAACAAACCTTCCAAAATGTGGAAGAATGGAAAAGCCTTTACTCTGAGGATGCAGAGCAGCAGCTAAAAGAACCTGTGTGGAACTGATGGACATCAGAGCCCCTTGGCACCATCACGCAGTCCAGACTTGCTGACAACACATTCACCTTCTGTAGCACCATCTGCCATGGGCTTTGGTCATTTTACCAAGTAACTCTTCCCAGGACAAGTTTTCTGCTACTAAGGAGGATGCATCCAGCAGAACAGGAACCCCAGTCAAATTCTGACAGCATCCCAATTACTCGGAAAAAAGATCCAATCACAGATTTTTGCCCAGAGAAATATGTAAGACCTTGTCAGCCAATCTGCCTGGCCAGGCAGAAGAAAGCTGTCCAGGATGGTCCCAACTCTAAGGCAACACACTAACTGACCTCCAAGTGCCAACTTTAGGAATCTGGGACAATTAGGAGAATCAACTTGTGACTTGCACTTAAATTCTAGCTCCTGATACAGAAGACTGTGTCAGTATTTTCCATGAATGATTTTCTTGAAATACACAATGAAAAGGAAGATGAGCCTAAATCAACATTTTGAGCATCACTGTATTAACATACTTTTACACAGCCCATAGATTCTGAGATTTCAAACTGGACCACAGAGATTAATCTTTGAGCGTGGCGCTGCATGCAGGAGTAGGTAGAATCCCTTTGCAAATGCTCTCTGGCATGTGTGACTAACAGAAGGTGACAAAATAGTCACACATATTGAACAACTGCTGTAAAGATCAATTTGTTCAAGCCGTGTTTGCACACCTGCTGTGCTAACTGGTGAATGGAGCTGTGTAGTACAGCTTCACACAGCCCACCAGCTCCAGGTAGGACCCATCCAGGATGCAACAAGACTTCCTAGGATGCTCCTAGTTCCCATGGGAGACAAAACCTGACACTTCATTCTCTACAAAGCCCTAGATCAGGTGGGTCAGTGCCTTTATTAAGGAGGAGAAAAGTGTTTTGTGACTTCCAGATTCTCAGCTAGCTGCAGCCCTGAGTGGTAGAGTCTACATCAGTCCTTTCCCCCAGACAAAAATGCCATAGTTGGAAAATACAGCAATCTGTATCCAGGAGCATCTAGGAAACAGTTCCAGATGCATTAGTACAGCAGCAGCAACACAGGCATCCGTGGAGGTTAAGAGGATAAAGCTGACGCCTGCCTACAACTTTGAAAGACTGAATCTTTTTGAGCGTCTGTTGTAGACCAGAGACAGAAACTTAACAGATACCTAAAAAGAGTGATGTGGAAGTGGAATCCAAAACTAACAATGCTGAAGATATTTTCTTTGCAGAAGTCAACATCTATGTGGATCTCACTTGCAAATGAAAGCTTTTGCTTGACTAACAGTAAACAACCATCAAAAAAATGGAATCTTTTCCTTTTGCTAAGCAATGAAACAGATTCCTCCCACGTCAGAAGCTCAGATTCTTAAGAAATATTATAAAACAAATAAGAAAACCAGAACAAAAGAAACTTCATGTATCATTAATCAACAGTGATGGGCAGAGAAGTAGTCCTCATGTCACTAAGATGGCACTTTAGCTCAGAACATCCTCTGCTGGAAACTTCTGAAAGTTGAGGCATTATTTTTAAAACATCCAGATTTGCCTCATTATCATCTTGCACCTTTAAATGAGATTGATTTGGTGAGGACAGAGTAGTATTCCAGGATCAGCAGTAAGGATGACATATTCACAGAAACATCCAGCTAATTCCAAGGATGGATTTGATATTTAACTATATATAAAACAGTTGGGTGCTGATACAGAGTTGAAGTGCTTGCCCCTTACACACAGCAGACTCACAAGCACCCTGCTGAGGCACCACGGCAGTGATGCTCAGGGTACATCACTCCTTCCTTCCTTGCAGCAGAATATACAGTACTGGCCACGGCAGCCAAACCCACAGCAACAAAGAACTCTGCTTTGCTAAGTCCTCAGGTTGTCATCACAGGCAAGGTGGCACTGGAATAAAAGGGTGACAGACATGGCCTTTTTTGACCCACTGACTTAGGAGGCATGGCACAACTACCCAGTATTTTCTCATGTATCTTTGCAGATAGTCCTGCAATGAGGCTGCTCCAAAAAAGAATGGGTATTTTTGAAATTCTTCCTGGCCTCAATTATACTCTCTTTCTGAATATATTTTTAACTGCAACAGTAAAGACAGCACCAGTAACCAGCAGAAGATAAGATGCTCCTACCAAGAGATGCAATTAATAAAATGAGTCTGAAAAGAAAACTGCGTCGCTACAGATCAGTGTAGGAAGGGAAAGTCGCTGCAAACTGAGCAGCTGACCACAGCACCTTCATATCAGGGTCAGTGAAAAGAATACATTCACCTGCAGAAGTATTAGAGTGCCTTAACAATAAAGTAAAAATAGGAATTCCTTGGATCAGTCATGTCATTTTATCATCATATTAAGCTGCTCCTGCTATAGTCCTTGAGCATGCCACAACATCTGATAAGTACAGTACCACAAAGCACTGCTTTGCAGTATGACTGAGCAGTACCAGCTCAGTCTCCTCAGTGATTCTGAAGGCTGTTTCTCTATTATACTAAATATTTGCAAGAGCAACATATGCAACAATAGATCTTTCCCCAGTTTCTCATCACTTTTCCATCACCACCTCTATTAAGTAATTACAGGAAACATCCCACAGCTCCAATCAACACCTTCTGAACATCTGCCTAGGAAAAATACAAGGTTTGATCCAGGGGAATTTCACTTGATTTGACTTAAAGGTGTAGAGCACTTCAATACAGCTCCTTTAATTAACCAGTGTGAAGGATAGCCAGTTTCAGGATGGATAATTAATGAAAAGCTGGTAATCTAGTAATAGTGCACCTGTTCATTTTCATCCATCTTCAGATACAAGATTTGATAGGGAAAAGAAAAATCAGTATTTCTTCCCCAAGGAGTTTACAGAGTGCTGGCTTTGGCACTACAAAAGCTGAAGAGGGTCTCCAGATCACACAGAAAGGCCAGAATTGTATTTGCATCTTAGTGAAGCCATTTTGAAGAACTTTAACCTAACCTACTCTTGACTTCAAAGCAGTGCCTGCAATCCTCTTCCCCAACTTGTCTAATACTAGTCAAAGTTTGGCAGGCTCAGCTCCTCAGCTAACAACAGCTCCAGGTCTTGGAAGGGTGTGGAGGATGGGGAGGAAAGCTATTGTATGGTGAGCAAATATAACACCCAACAAGGTGTGAACATGCCATCAGATGGTGACAAAGCAGCCACCTTTACTGCAGAGTAAGGGAGGGCATCACCTGATGAAAGAGCACCTGTGTGATGGGTGTTTATTCAGCTGGTTTGAGGGGTTAAAGTGGCACATTAATCCTTATGACTCCCAAATTATCTGGAACCACTCGTACTTTATGAAAGTTTTCAAGTGATAAACAGACTACTCTTTTTTAGGCTGGAAAGGGTAAGTTAAACATAAGAAAATTAATTCAAAACAGAGGTTTAAAAAAAATTATCCGAAGTAATTTTCTACAGATAAAATTAACTTCTGAAGCTCATTGATACAGGATGTTACAGAGGGCACTATAACAAGCAAAAGGAAACAAAATAAGCTCATGGAAAATAGACCCAGCACATCTATTAAGACAGAAGCCATTTTCATCTCAGCAAGTACCTGAACAGCAAAATGCCTAAATTAAGGACAGCCACTGGTTAGAGATCCCTTGCACACCCAAGCACTCCACATGCCATCTCCCTACACTTGGGCAACTTCCAAAAACAGGATGCAAGGCAAATATGAATGTCTAAGGAAGAATTCTGTCACTTAGCTGTGGGTCTCTAAAAATGCAGAAACAATGTATGTTCAAATTAATTCATTCAAGATTACTGCCACTATCTGAGAAAAATCAAACATCTGCATGATAGGAAACACAACAGAACATACTGGGTTAAAAAATGAGGAATAATTACACATTCATCTGTCCCAACTTCCCATTGTTGTTGTTAGGTAGGTATTTCAACTTGCTCCATTTGCAATGTTTTGTCAGAGCATTCAGCTTCCACTGATGAAAACCTGGTTTTAAGAGTCAGTCCAAGCTCACTCAACACAAAAATCGAGTACCTTTTCTGGTGCTGAAAGTATTTTTTAGGAACAAAACACAAAACATCACATGTTCACATGTCACCATCTGTATCATTAAGATTTTTTTAATCCATCTCCTAGTATCCTTCCTACTTAACAGACTGCTGTGACATTATACACCTCTACAAAATTAAACTAGTACTGCCATCACGATTTCTGTCACTTTTAAGCAAAGAAAAAGTCACGTTTATTTTGTAGTAGCAATAGTTTCTTTTTTATTTTTAATATACTTTAGGAAACAATATACAAAGCTGAGCTTTTCCACCATTTTCAAACGGTGAGTTGCTCCAATTACACAAATTCAGCGTTTTGTGATGGTTAAGAACAGCAGTCAGCACCAGACTTAAACAGTTAGCTACAACACAAACATCCTTCGAAATGAAATGTCATAATATCAAGACAGGTAAACCAGGAGTTAACATATGACAACTGTTGGGGAGGTGTCTTAAATCATCCTTGTTGAATTTTATATTTCCTTAAATATTTTATACATATTTTCCTGTTTACAAGTTTTAAACAAAACCTCCCTTGAGGAATTATTTAAGTACAAAAATGTTCAACAAGAACAGTTCTAATAAAGAATCCCCAAAAAGACCAAATTTTAATGTGTTGACCAAAGGAAATGAAAACCAGTGTTTCTTTGCTTTAACATGTTTATTACAACAGATACAATTCACATCTGACTAGCTTTTTTTTTTCCTCTTTCCCCTCCCACAACCATGTTAACATGTTCATTGGGCTATTTCCTTATATTTGAGCAAGTAATGTACTTTCAGCACACATGCCCAGCAGTACTCTAAGTCCATTCTTACAGGGTGCAAATGGAAATACGTTTCAATAATTTATACAAACAAGTGGGTTATGCTCAATCACTGCAATTTTAAGCTACTGTACACAGGAATGAAAAGATTATAGAAAAAGTGCCATAGCAACAGTGCCTTAAGAAAAGAGAAAATTAGAAGCATTAAAAAGCTGGTAAAATCAGATTTAGGATTTCACAGGGAAATGGAACACAGAAGATGAAAAACATTTCTCTGTAAAACAGAAATGGAGAAGCACTGCTCTCGACTCGGTGCAAGTGTGGAAACAGTTGTTTCGTGGTATTTTGTACATTGCCCAAACTGTTGCAGCCTTAGACACAAATCGCCTGGCGCTTGCATTGAATTTCAGGAAATGAAAAATTTCTGAATGATAAATTAACTAAAAAAAAAAAAGGAAAAAAAAAGAAAAAAAGAAAAAAAAAAAGGAAAAAAAAGAAAGCTAATTTTGCAGACAGGTTTACATGTAAGAGGCTAGGTATTTAGCCACCTCAGCATTGATTAGTTTTGGATGTCTAAGCTCTGATACACATGGCTTCCCATGGCTTCACTCTACAAAATATATTTACAACGTGAAGAATACATCTACAAGAAATCTACATTTCAAGGGTTTTACAAATCATTCTTGTATCTTTCCCCTGAATTTGACTCCCTCCTGTCCCCTTCCCCATGTCAACTTTTTTTTTCTGCCCAGCTCAACGGTCCAAAGTCTACTCAAATGCAGCTCAAAAGTGTTAAGACTGGGCATCAGTTTAATAGTTCTTGTACTCAAAACCATGTGCAATTGTTTACAACTTTTCACACCATGAAGGAATTCTGATTTTTTAGCTTTTCAAGTTCTTTAATTTGTTGCCTCAAAAATAGTATCCTGCAAGAGAAAAGAAACAAATTAGTATAAACATTTCCATTATACAGATATATTAAATAAGTACACAAGTACTTCTACAATTTCAGTGAAAGATACCAAGTTCCTTAGCCCCATAAAAAAATTCAGACATCAAGTTGATTCCTATTCTGTTTAATCATCTACAGCCAAATGCAGATGGCACAAAGGCCTGGTGCATTTGACACTTCAGTTCAAAAAACTAAGTTGATCTATTTCTATTATGACTGATACACAGTTTTGTTTAAATCTGCTCTTCACTTGAATGCAGCTCCCAGAAAAAGCTGGCAAGTAAGCCAAGTAACTGAATAATCTCCAGAATAGCATTATGCCTGTGTCATGCAGTTTTCCAGATTGTAAAACAACCTAAAGTGCTCATTTTTTTTTTAAAGTGAGCTTTCTTCTCATTTGCTTTTTTTTCAAGTATTTGACTCTGAGGCTTATGGTAGTCTCTAATTATGGCAAGCTCCAATTTCAGAAACATTAGGTGCATCATTAAAGGGCATCTAAAAAAAAAAAGTAACTACACCTTGCTTAGAAATAAATTATATTGCTCACAACTTTTTATACATTTTTTTCTTCTGACTGATATAAGGAATTACTGTGACTAACAAACATCTGGCTCACAGGACTGTTTCCCAGAATTTTTAATGAATATTTTGAAACCACTTTTCATGATGCCGAAGTACAATGCAAACATGTCACTGAAATAAGAAAATAATCAGGAAGAGTTTAGGTTTTATATAAATATTCTATGAAGTCTGAAGCAACTTCAATAAATGCAGAAAAACCTTTAATTCAGCACTTTTGTGAAACACTTTACAAATATGTGCTCAGTTCATTAAAAATTAATTTTCTACTGAAAAGTAGGTGGAAAATAATGTATTAATACAGACACACCAAAAAGAGAACATTTAGCTTCAAGGCATGGGCATATAAAATATATCAGTCAATGAAAAGTGCCTTTTCACATGCTGTCAGTTATGATTCAAACAATGCATGTGCTTTGTCTAGAGATGAAGTTCCTTCTTAGAAGAAATTTAAGTAGTACTCTTCTGTGCAGAAGTAGAGAAATAGTATCATCATTTAAATGTATTGATTTTGATAATCCCATCCTTTGGGAAAGCCTCCCCCATCAACTTGGTTACTTATGCCTTGTATTCCACATCTTTGGGATTGCAGCAAAAATAAAAGATATATGTTACTATAGGCTCAAAGTCATAGTAATAATTATCCATTGACAGTTTAAGGATACAAAGTGTACAAGAAAGAAGGTACTATTTAATGAGATGAACAACAATATTTGACATGTTATTTCAGATCTAATGTGCAGTCAGAGACAAATGACACCTTAGGAAATTAAAACCGTAAGAAACCAAACATTTCATTAAATATACTACAGAAATCATAATTCATGCAGTGAAGTTATGAAATAAAGCTTCAGAAAAAATGGGTATTTTCAATTCTTTATCAGGAAAGGTTTACAAATATATTATAGCCTGCTTATAAAGGATTGTTCCACTAACTGCCAAAATGCAAGAGCTTCTAGAATAAATGCAGCTATTTTAACAGCATGCAATGCCATTAAACTGGCTTCAAATAATAAATCAGAAGCACTGTATTCAAATTGTAGTGTGACTTAATAGCTGGGATAACATCACTGAAAGAGGAAACTGAGTATGAAAGCAGATACAAAATCATGACTACTGGTGAATATTTTGAGCATATATTTTATGATTATAGTTTCCAATCTTGCACAGAAGTATTCAAAAGTGTGGCTGTGTGGCTGACTTAAGAAGCAAAATCTTCTTTGCTATAAAAAAACATTCATTTTTCCTTAGCTTCTGATGTAAATTACACCTTTCAAACTCGCTTTGGCTTCAGACCTATTGAATCTCCCATAAACTGTAGTGCTTCAGATTAGGAAAAACACTGCAGATGTGTAACTATGTGATCTATGCATTATGTATAGGCTGATACTCTAGAAGCATGCTGAAATACCATGAATTAATCAGGTTTTTGCAGAAACCTTAATGCATTACAAAGGTATTTATTTTCTGTGCAAGTAAAAATAGATACAGAAATTGCATATCTGGTTCTATTTAGTGGAGAGAAACAGGCAGAATGTACACAGGGAAGACAGCTTGCAAACATGGCAAGTACTGGTGCACTTACAAAGTCATTAGTAAACAAAACTAATGCAAAATAATGCCAGAATTGAAGTTCTAGTAACTTCCATTAGTAACTGAAGCACAAAGCACACACAAGTAAGCACAAGGCACACACTTACCTTTGCTCACGCAAAGTTGCTTGAATTTCACATACTCGAACTAAAGACCTTAAATTCTTTAATTCAGTACAAATTTCTGACATATGCACACTTCCCATGTTATGGGCTTCCTCACGTAATCTTGATGCCTGCAGTGGTTAAACATAAAGGTTAGAATTTTGAATCATGCATAGGAAACAACTGGCAGTAGCCAGAGAATTGCTGGATGAGTGTCTCTTGAAACAGCAAAGCACTCTAATTTCAAAAGGGAGTATTAAATCAGAAGCACGTTAAGTTCTCTACAAAAGCCCACTTTGAATCACAAATAAACAACACTGCTGTCCAGAAACTGTCTACCCATGCCTGTACTAAGGCAGGGATAGTTTAGACTTTCTTAATCCTAACAAACGCTTACCTGATCATCTTGAAAGACAGTACATGACAGGGCTTGGAGTTTCTAAAATAATTTTTTCAAGTAGTTCAAAGTCTCTAACCATTATTCCAATGGCAGACTTAAATTTCCCAACTGATTAAGCCTTAGTGACAAAAATATCTGAATGCCATCTTCTTTCCAGCTACCTTCTACCTGACAAAAAACACTATGCAACTCTCTTCAGGTGTTCTCTAACAGACTGACTCCATTACTTTAATATTCCCACTTAGTCAGCTGGAGACAAGCAGAAATGTAAATTTAAAGAGCATGACCTATCCAATTCCCAATTTGTGCATTTCTTGAAGTGTCATCTCTGAACTGGATGTGACTCCAGAGAACTTCTCAAAAGCACCATGAAGACCAGTATAATTACCCTGAGGCCCTGTGCATTACACTGCAATAAGGAACAGGACTTCTTTCAAGTGGCACATGGAAAAATTGTTTCGAAATACAGCCTTCCCTGCAGCATTACTGTTTAGCAGTGTTACCCTCTGCTACATTGGGTCTGGTTGGGATGGAAAGAATTCTCTTCACAGCAGTCCAAGTGGTGCCATGTTTTGAATCTGTGACCAAGCCAGTGCTGACAACACAACAGTTTTAGCTATTTCTAAGCAGACCCTACACAGCATAAAGAGTTTCCCTGTCTCTCTCTGACCCCCTCTCTCCACCCAGCAAATACATTGTGGGTGGACAATAGACAGGGAAGAATCAAAGCTGGGACAGCTGACCTGAACTGACCTCAGGGATATTCCATATCATACAAGGTGCCATGCTCAGCAGTAAAACTGGGGGACAGTGTTCCAGGGCTGCCATGGCTCAGGAACTGGCTGTGCACTGGCTGGCTGGTAGTGACTGCCTTTGCATCACTTTCCCCCATCCTCTGACTCTTTAACCTGCTTTTACCTCAACTCCTGACTTCTCACTTTTGCCTAATTATTTCCCCCATCCAACTGGGGCAGAGCAAGGAAGTGGCTGTGTGGTGCTTAGCTGTCTCCTGGGATTTATCCACATCTGCTTAGATACTTGTATGCTTAATCTTCCTTCCCAAAAATAATACAATTTAGCACAGGTCTTCATCAACTTTTGGTGTTTCTCCAGTTCAAAGCAGCATTTTGTGTTCTAATTCTCTACACTAGAAGTTTTATTTTCTGGAGTTTGTTAACATCCAGGAGTACCCTGGTCTCCAGTACGATATGATTACCCATGTCTTCTCTGCACAATTCCAGTTACTGAATTGTTTTTCAGTTTTCCATGTTAAGTGCTTTTTATGAGTACTGTGAGGTAACTGCTCTAATTCAAGAATGTTGTAGCTATTTACTGCACAGCACATTTCTTCAAGTCTAACTGCTTTAGTACATACCTGAGTATGTGACTGATAGAAGAGTCCTGACTCTTCTAATTTATTTACTTATTTATTTTTCAGTTTACTCTGGCATGTGCTCTTCTGCCCTAAGTTCAAATTACACTATGTATCTGGCTGCTATCTGAAGAAACCAAGGCACCGCATTTTTAGTCTTTCCACTTTGATCTGTTTTATCTTCTTCACTACATACTGCATCTATCTTCTCACTCACTTTTATATCAAATATCTCACTTAAGTGCCTCAAGTGTTACTATGCAAAACTGGTCTATAAACAACACTACCATGTGAAATCATCTGAAATAGCAGACAGAATAACACAGCATGTAGCACGTAGCACAAAGGAGAAGTACCCAACTGAGTATATGACTGCCTAGCATTAGCTGAGTTTTGTGATCTCTTTTATTACCAACAAGGGAAAAAGACCCCAAAACTGCAAAACTGCACTGCATAAATCTGTTTTCTATATTAAGATACTTATGAATTCAGCACACTGTGAAAATAATACTTTCAAAACCATGGATCAAGGCCATAGATAAGCGCCTGTGCTACACCATTTCCTTAAAGACACTCCATCATAGCAATGGCTCAGTGTTTGACTCAGTACAGGCTGGTAATGTTCTAAAACTGATTTTAAAAAAATCAGTGAAAAGAAGCAAGAATCCTAACAGGGTCTCAGTTTAGACTGTACTTGTAAAAGTCATCTCACAAGTTACTACTCAAAAGTCTCCGATGCAGACTTGTGCCAGCATGCAACAACTCTTCGAAAGAGCGAAGTAAACTGGGCTAAGTAAGATTATTACTCTAGACTGCATCAGATAGGGCTGCCTGTGGAAAGAACGGAACTAGATTCAATAATCTTTGAGTTCCTTTGAGTAATACATTCCAAGCAGCTGACATGCATCCAGTTTCCTTGTATTACTACAACAGAACAGGTTTCATGCAATTATCTATAATATATGGATGGCAGTTCTACTGGATTTCTCATTAAAAATAGCCCAAAATTCAGTCTGAGTACTCTGTATCAATTTACAAACAAGGCAGAGTTTCTTTTTCAATGAGTAGAACTAACAAGTCAGTAACTAAAACTGTGGAGTAGTCTCAAATAGTTTAACTACCTAATTTGTAACATTTTTCACATAATCAAAATATCATTATGAAAAAATATGTTGAACTTTATGTTCTCTGCAAATTTCAACAGAACTTTAGAAGTAAGAAAACAGTTAGGAGGATAGCTACTCATTTGAGGGAATTTCAAAAGTACTGACACTTCAAGTAAGACTAAAATACTCAACCTCTGAAAGGCAAACACACATAAAACCTGCAGGTCTGGCGTAATTTCTCTTCCCTCTGCTCTCTTCTGGCTAAGATCAAGCATAAGGGTTTTAATACTTTTAATTCCTAGAAATAGCAACCTGAGTAAGAAATCCAAATTTTAAGATACACATTATGCACTCTTAAAGGTAACAATGCAAAGTACTCACCTGCTTTTCTGCATGATCTGCAGGCCAGCCTTGAACGTGCTTTATAAGGTTTTCATTGAAGTGTGCTGCTAGCGTAGGTGTTAATGAACATGTGGGTCGTACAGATGTATTCTGTGGTGCAGGTGTTGAGTTTGATGCACTACTGCTAGAGGTATGATTTGGACCTGGTGATGGACTTCTCTGACTACTAGAAGAAAGAATTGAAAAAAGAAAGTGAGCATTTAAAAACATATGTGAACGTATAGAGAAATGAACACTGAAAATTCATTGCTTCCAGGAACAAAAATACATAGTGTTCAAACCACAAAGAAATACTTCTGGCAGACCAAACCTGTGCCACCTTTCTATAAACCTCTAACTTTTACTGGAAATGTCTGAGTGCTACAACGTAACAGGAGGTTTTTTTGTTTCATAGAGTTTTGTGTTTGCCTGGATTTTAACTCTGAGAGCTGTTCAAGAGATGTAAGCTATGTCTAAATGCTGCTGGGTAGAAATTATGTACATGTATGATCTTCCTTCAAACAGGTGCAAATCTAAGATTTTCAGTAATGATGCATCAGATGGGAGTCAGACAGGTTTATTCAACAGAGGTTTGCCACAACAATCATTAACAACAATGCCTGATGTCCTAATCTGAAAATACAGCCATATGGGATTTGAGGAGTTTACTGCTCATGTCAAAACAAAACCTACATGGTTTTGGGACACTATGTATCCTCACTTAACTGCACTCAGGGCAACAAAACTATCACAGGAGCAGTGTGATTGTAGCCACCTAAGTTTGCTGCTTTACTGGAACATACTCAGCATCAACAGTGATGGTAACTCACAGTTAAACGTTCTCTGGCACTACATATGCTAAGATATAGTAGCACTAATTGTTTAAGTACAACTCTCCCACTGTCAGAAGCTTTTCAAAACAGGCCATAATTTCAGTCTACTTCTTAAAACTTTGTATCATTTGCAGGCAAGAAGAAGTATTATGAAGGAAAACCAAATTTTAAAAGACTTTTGCTTCATCACCTAACCTGTCAGTCCCCCTGAAGACTGAAAACATCCTTACAAAATGCAACTATCTTTCTAGTCCAATGCCAGGATATTTATCCTAATCAACTCACACTTGCCAAGAATTACAGCATTAAGAATTACAGCCAACAAACTGGATGTCTGACATGGACCTGCTGGAACAAAGCCAGAGAGTCACCAAGTTGACAAGAGGGATGAAGCACTTCCCCTATAAAAAAAGCAATTCCTCCTCTCTTTTCAGAGCTTATGAGATTCACAGTGTCTGGAGCACTGTGTAGTGGGAAGCCTAAAACTGGACAAGAATTAAACTGCTATAGCAAAGGAATGTGGCAGAGGACCACACAGACGTCTAAAGGGCTGAAGCACATGCTGTATCAGGAGAAGCTTCAAGTTTATTCAGTCAGAAAAACAGAAGCCTGAGGGTAAGGGGATTGAGGGATCTTTTTACACATTTTTACTACTTTTGGGGAGAACGGACTCTTTTCAGAGATGCACAGTGAGAGCACAAGAGGCAGAGAGACAAGTTGCAACAAGGGAAATTCTAATTAGACATGAGATAAAAAAAGATCAACCTAAGGGCAGTCAAACATTGGAAGATATTCTGAGATATTAAAAAAAAAAAATCACCTAAATAATGCCCTTAGTATTTCAACCTTGCCATTCCTACTCTAAGTTGAGACCAAAGTAAAACGTAACTAGAATTCTGTTCCAAAGTAAATTATGCTAAGTTTCAATGTATTCACTTAGCATCAGCATGGTGATCATGAAGAGAAAGGCTACTTTTATTAACTTAAGTAGAATTCAGGCATAACCTTATTTACACTTTAGTTCTACTAGAATTAAAATTACCCCTATGACTTGCCAACTCTTCAGTTATCAGCCTGTCTTCTGCTCCTACTTCATCAGTAAAAATCACTCTAACACATCAGAAATGTTTCAAGAAAATAAATAAATAAAATCTGTGGGCTTCTCAAAAATAAAGTTGTATCTTACTTACGACAAAAACATACTGTCACAAAATATCCTAGGCATTGCTATGTTAGCAGCAGGGGGAGCTATGAATGCAGCAATGACTGTTCTAAACTACCACAGTATTTTTAAATGCTTCACTAAAGGCAAATACTTGCATTAGCTGAGTTAAAGACTGACTATGCCACAAGTAACAGAAGTAAGAGAGTCAAAAATATCTGTAACAAGGGTACAAGAGTGGTTCTGAAATACACTACTACAAACATCAGAATTTTATAACCTACAAAAAATGAAATACCTCCCTTCACAGCACTTTCCTAAGGTAAAGGAAAAATTGTCTCAGTCCTTTCTGAAACTAAAAAGAAACTACCAACCTGATTAACCTATTAATTATGGAAGCACTCATTTAGTATCATTTTTAAAGCAACCAAAACTCACGGTGCATCTTTGGAACAATCTGTAACAGAAAAACTCACTATATGCCTGCATTGTGTTAACTTCCCAATTTAAAAGGCTGAAATGTTCACTTCTTTAAAGTTAGCAATAGTTATTCATTTCTTCTTACACAGTGTTTCCACCCCAACAAGTCAAAAATAATTTTACCTCCATTCACTGAAAACTTTAAATGAGCCAAGGAAATGTAGTCGTGATTAACTTCTGCTCAATTAATCTGGATTTAAGCTGGAGAAAAATGCAACCTTAATTCACAGAGCTAAAAAGATTTTGGACCATCTGTCCACAGCTCAGTTTTCTAAATTGTTGTTCACTCCTATAAAAGTAAAGGACATTAGCTCCCAAGAGCAATTCCCAATCCAACCAACAGCTTTCACCTACAAAGGAATTATCTGTTCCATATCAATTAAGACATACTGCCTGGATGCAGCAAATCTCTTGCAGGTAAGTAAATCAGTATCTGAGCTGGTCCACTTTCATTCAACTCCACTGCACTCAAAAGAAGAAAATACCAGTCACACAGGTTTTTCCAAGTCACCTATTCTTTAATCTTCCACTTGTTGCAAATGAGACATTTCCAAAGCAAACTGAATCACATGAACTCACAACACACAGTACAGCAGAGTCACAAATATGTATTAATGTAAGAGATAAAGGATACTGAACAATACTAACACTGCCTCAGGATCTCTCATCCTGGCCTGCACACTGCCTCCCTGTGCTGCCTCCCCCTCAGCCATGGGACTGTGCTACCTGCACAACTCCCCTGCTTCAGCACTGCTGGGGAAAACTCAGCCTCCTCCAGCAAAACGCCAAATGAAGCAATGGTTTGCAGAGGGACAGCAGATCCCTAAATTCATTGTAGGTAAGGGTCATGCTGGAGTACAAAGCCATGTAACCCAAAGGGAGGGTGAGGTAGGGACTAGCAGGCAAATACCATCAGCATCAACTCACACAGGCTCCAAGCCATGGTAAAGGTTTCCAAGAATAAGACTATCTTTCTTAAGATATTTTCCTGTGGGGAAAAAGCTCACAGGAAAGAACAAAAGGGCCTGTGACTGAGAGCTGTCCCCCAAAACTTCACCACTCCTCATAAAAAAGCTTAGCCTGCTGCAAAGTGTAATTAAATTTTTGGTACTGTAATTCAAAAATATTTAAATAGCACCATTCATAATTACTAGGGATGGAGCTGGACATTTTGCCTTTATTCCCCTAAAAGAGATAAATGAGTTATAGGCTTGTAATCAGACAAAGATTAGAATCAAGTGTCTGTAAAAGAGCCTACATTAAAAACTCAAAACTTATGACCTGGTTGTGTCTGTAACCTCAAACTGGTCAATAATGCAGGGTTCTCCAGTGAAGCCAGCTTCTGGGACAGGACTGCCAAGCACACAACAGATAACCCAGTCCCCCCAAAAACCTCAAAACACAAAATAAATCCCTTCTCCCCACAAAAACAGCCAAAACCAACAAAGAAAACAAAGGTCCCCACTGTTATTAGTCCCAGAAGGGCAGATAAGAAGACTTCACTATTTTATGATCTGGAAAGCAGCACCAAATGTAGCTTCAGGTATGCTGACAAATCAAGAGTATTGGGTTTTAGTTTTTTGTTTGTTTTTTTAATACCATACCACACCACCCACCTTATTCCATCACTCTAAAAATCCAGCTATTAAGAACTGTAAATTTACAGAACCTCTAAAAAAGTCAACCTCTTCCTGCCACAGTTCTATACCATGACTCCATCACAAAAGGATCTCACGACACATCTCTGGTTACAGCCCCTGGAACCAATGTGACGAAATGCAGAGCATCTGACACTATGAAGAGTGTCAGATTTTTCCCGAAAGAAAAATTTAAACAAGATACAGATTCTAAACCTACCTTGTAAATCAATGGTTAAATGTTGGTATCATGCAACATCTGAGTAAGTTGCAATGTTGACAAAATAGTCTGGTCAAGGAAAGGTATTTGTGAAACTTATTTAATTTTTTATGTTTTTCATTAGAGCAGCAAAATCACCTGACAAACCAAAAAATCACGCTAATTTCAAAATCAAATTACACTATGGCAACACAAACATCTAACACTAAGCAAATCACAGATTCCATAACTGCACAGAGACAGAAACTCCAAACTCTGAAATACAAGGAATCACTTGAAAAATTGACACCAGAGTGACAGAACACAACTATGACTTCCATTTTGCTTCTGTGAGAATGGTCTAATGATTACCCCAAAAATGGAGAATCTACCACATTAACTATGTAACAAAGGTACTCAGCTGCACCATCTCAGTAGCAGCAGGTAAATCTCAAGTTCAGTGAACAGGCCAAAGAAGAGTCCATTAACTGCAACATACACAACACACACTGAATGCAGATGAAAAACTAATGACAGAACAGAGAAGCACTTCAATATACCTTGAACGCTGAAGACTTCGTGGAGAGGCAGGTTCATGACCCGCCTGCTTGTCAGCTATTACTGGCTGCTGAGGTGCTGCCTGGGAAGCTGGTCCTTGTTTAACACCTGGAGTAGCAACCTGGAAAGTTCAAAATTTCATTAGCATTCCTCCACAGTAAAGAGCAAGTGTAAGAAACCAAGTGTAGAAAAACAAGATTATAATCTCAACACCTGTGGGGTTTTTTGATAGAAGGCCTTTTGTTGACACAATTTTTATTCTCTTCATAAGGTGTTCTTTTAAAAAAAAATCTAGTTCCACAGCTGTGACAGAAAGATTTTTTTTTACTAAGGAGTTATTAATAGACATAACAAAAGCAAATTTAGACTCATGTAACTTGTCAAAACAGTGCAAGCTTACTAGGCAAAACAGTTCAACTCAGTATGATTTTTCAATGTATCTTCCATCTGAGAACTGAGCTAATTTTCAACCTCAGAAGAGTTGTTCATTACCCTAATAAAATCTTCATGTACAAACTTTAGAGTTCCCTACTTGAAAATACATCACAGTGTCAAGAACATAATTACATCACAAGCATATTAAAAACATCCCTATCAGAAAGGGAAAAGAAAATTGGAAGCATATTTATCAGTTTGCTACTCCCTTTTCTCGAAGTTCGAAACTCATGAGTGACTACAAAAATAGTTATCAGTACCTTCTTGATTTTATTTTGCTGTAAAAGTACACGTTCGACGTAAGCTATGAAGATACCAGCAGTAAGATACAGTCTTTTCTGCAAATTTCTGAACTATGTCAGGATGAGAAGTTTAGGAATATAGTAATGTCCAATTTACAGCAAATGCAATTCAAGATACTTCATCTTGCCCAATGCTTTGCATACCTCAGTCAATTTTGAAATATGTACAAGAGAGGTTCAGCTTCAAAATTTATCCTCCACTCCATGAAATCAAGCTAACAATTTTAAGAGAAAAGGGAGGGAGCAAAGGAAAAATGGCTTCTAGGGCTCCATAAATACAAAAAAACCCCAAACTGTCCAGCCTGTCTGGAATTCGCTAACTTCAGATTAATGTAGGTTACTAACTAGTGGTCACCTGGACCTCCAGAAATTCTCTATTTCAAAAACAGACTTCTGTGAGACAAACCACAGATGGTAAGTCATACACTATCTGCTAAAGTCAACTCAAAACATAACTTGATTCATTTAAAAAAGCGAGTGGGGGGGGATGTCTTAATGCAAATCCAAACTGTATGTCTAAGAGGAAAAGTCACCTTTTAAAATTATCAAAATGAAAATGTGTTCTGATTTTTAGATTATTTTAGGCATATACTAAAAATTTCTGAGTAGAACACAAAAAGCACATGGTACTAAAAGGAAAAAGCAAGATAATTGTAAGATCACTGTGCTGTTGAAATAAACAGAACTATATAGTTGAGGGGGCTGAAACAATAGCAGTTCATAAACTGATTTATGAGAACAGACTACACAAGTACCTTTATAAAATATATGACATGAAGAACTTTGCTACTAATGCCTGCATTTTGCTCAGCGTGTGAGCAGACATTAAACCATCAAGGCTGTACAAACAGAACAATTTCGAAAGGGAAGTTCATCAGAAATAACTGATAAAGATACAGAATCATGCTGCAGATTCAAACTGGTAAAGTAACCAGCTCCTTGGCTGGTAAAAATAAGGACCGCGAAGAAAAAGTGGGATTTGTAAGATAAATGAACCACAAAACCTCTCAACTGTTCTATGTTTTCCAAGTGTTTCAAAGACTGTAAATACATATAACAGAAACAGAAAAATAGTAAGGGCAAAACAAACAAACCAACCAACCGCACCATTCTCATTGAGCTTTACAAGACTGTGTAACGTGCTTTACAGAGCTATTTTGCAGAAATTCAGAACAGTTTCTGATCACACAATACAGGCACAGCTAAAAGGCAAAAAGTGACACCCAAGCTCCCTGAGTCTGTGACCCCCAAGCTGTCACATGCATACAGCACTGCAGGCAGACACACTTTTTCAGTGTGGAAGCAGTACCAACATGTTCAAGCAGTCCTAAGCAACAGTACTGTGCCAATGGCACTACTGTGGTCCCACAGCCAGCTCAAATACCTGTGCATCTGGCACTGGGCTCCTCTTGCACAGGCAAGTTCAGCTTTGTCTGCCCTATGCCCATGTGCTCTAAAACCAAGTGTGTCCTGGCACAGCACCACATCTTAATCAGACATAATTTACATCTAACTGTACAACTGGACAAGCTAGCCTGACCGACATATCCAACAGGCTACTGAAACAGACATGCTCACACTGGAGCTATCACCACCTAAGTTCCCATCTCATGGAACTGAGTTACATAAATACAGGAACTATCAAGACAGTTCCCGCCCTACTGAACTGGCAAAGTATCTGCTGCTGAACCAAAATTTGTTACTTCTGGGTCTAACAATCTCTGGGTTGTAGAGACCAGAAGAGATCAACTTCCAGTTATTGACAGTACACAAGAAGATTCTTCTTCATATCTCGGAACTTGGAAGTGCCAAATATCTCAACACTGCTACCTGATAATTTCATTACTTGCCACCTAGCTATGGGATGTGAATGCAGATTGAGGATGCAATCCAGTGGCAGAAACCAAGGTAACAACCAGTACTGGTATACACATGAAGCTTTCACAATTCATTGCACCACTGGTCATCACAAGAAACTGGGAGAATCACTTGGTTTTCTCCATACCCACGAAAAAAATCTGATGAAAGAAAATGAGGTATTTTGAATATAATAAGGAATGTAGTGTGTTCTGAAGAGAAAAGTATTCCTCAAAGGCATCCAAGACATTACAGGTTCACTTGTGAGCAGAAAATTGAAAACAGACACCTTAGCTAAGCAGGGATGGTAATAAACAACACGTTTTAGGAAGGTGAGGGTGTCTCATCCTGAAGTCTGTAGTCATCCTTCTCAGGAAGAACCTCAGGAGCTTATATGTTAGCTTCAATTTCTATTTCCTAGTCACTGACCCAATGAAGGAATTCTGAATGAATAGAGGTGAGGGGGCAGGAAGGGGAAGGGACATTATGTTATTTATCTATAAACACCTAGAACATTTCTAAAACAAATCTGAAACTACATCAAGTTAATTTCCCCAAGTTCTCTCCCATTCTGAACATCTTTTATTGAGTAAGTCTAGAAAACTGTATCAGCTGTTGCCTTTGAAGTATGTTTTTGTTTCTATTTAAATATGCTACAATACCAATGCCTTGGTAATATCACCAGACAGCATCTAAAGCCAGCATAAGAATTTCTTCAAGAAAAGTAAACTAGATTTCATGCTGGAGCTGCACTGCCAAAATACAATCAAGTAGTTGCTTCCAGTTGTTTGTTTCTATTGGGAGGGATAACGTACATATTTTATCATCCTGTATACAACTGTTAGCACATGGATATATAGGAGCAATACTTAATATTATGTATAATGGTTTCTTACTACATTATGGGATAAACCAAAAGAAGGATTACCTTCTGCTGGGATGATACTGGTGGCGTAGTCATCAAAGGTTTAAGTGGAACAGTGTTAGTCTGCGGCGTGCTTATCCTTGGAGACACATATGATCTTGGTGATGAGGCATCAGATGTTAAAGACATTGGAGACTGATTAGATGGCTGAGCTGTAAAGGAAAAAAAATTGCTTTTTAATAAAACCATGTCCTATCTTAAATGTGCATTAGATTTTCTTTTGGTACTTTGAAGTATGCCACATCAGATGATATACAAACATGTTCACTGTGAACAACTAGAATAACAAAACGTTCAACAACAGCCTTAGCTAACGAATTGTATTTCCCCCAAACTTCCCACTTCTAAAATTTCAGGGGAGGGGGAAAAAGAAGAAGCTATTAAGAAATGCTTTTTACGCATGAAGAGACTTAAATCATTTGCAACTCCTACTTTAGAGTGCTCAAGTGGATTTAACCAGAAGAAAGCATGCACAGTTTCTATATAAACCTATTAACCCATTCTAGGCATACACCAACAGTTCCCCACCCATGGTTAAAAATTACCATTAGTACTTCTTACCTATTCAGTAAGATGACTTCATTCATTGTTTTGGTTTAAGTTTCTAAACTTAAGTTTTAAAGTTTTTTTTTATTAAGTTACAAGCCAGAATATATTGAAAGTACCTGAAAGAGTATCTTGTCTGGAAGATGAAAAGAAAAGTCCCCCACCAGACAGAGGAAACTTTCTTTTAAGAGGAAAAAAAAAAAAAAAGGATCCCCCCAAGAGACACAGTTGCACAGTACTACAAAACGGGTGTTGAAGTAAGCAAGAGTTGTGTTTTATACTGCTAAAGGACACCTAATTCTGGTCCAGAATAAATTGAGAGGGTCTCATAGAATTTTCACATTACTCATATAGAATTATTTAACATACAAAGAAAATCCTAAAAGGTAAGAGGCAAGTTTACTTAGTTGTGTTGTTAAATTCCTGCTAGTCAATAACTATTTTTTATCCTACCTTTGTAAAAAGAAGTCATTCAACATTTTCCACATCGTCTGGCCAAAGATATGACAAGAAACAGATTCTAAAATTGTATCAGCCTTTTTAAAACCCTGTGTAACAAATTTATGTAAGTGAAAAAAAGACTCTGAATACCTTGCGTAGACAGCTGTGCAGCTTGAGAAATTAGGGAGGTGATATTGAAAGCAGATGGTCCAGCAGTAAGAATTTTATGGAGAATAGACTGCAGAGAGGCTTGTGTCACAGCTGCTGTTAGAACTGAAAACAAACATTCTGTTTTACTGACAGTTCTAGAACACCACTTTAAACTGTTCAAACTGGCTAATTACATTTAAGGTACATTTTCTTTCAGATTTATTTCCCATATCTACTATGACCAAAGATCCACCTGAATTGTTTTTCAGTTACTTGATTTCAAGCTGACTCAGAATGTCTAGCAAGTTCTTTCTTTAGCAGTTTGAACTTTAAGATGTACACTTACCAAAAATGTTCTAAAAAATAACTTTAACGTTTCCACTTGACCTTATGGATCAGTAATAATTCTTGTAAACAGCAACAGAAAATTTGTTCAATTTGCTACTGCATAAGCAGAATGTGTGTGAAGGTTTCTTACACTAATTTTTTTCAAAAAGCAAAAAGCAGAATCACTTTAACTCACTGAAAGAGATGGGGAGCAGACTTCACGTTCAAGAAGAAAACAAATATTTTTCAAGTTAAAAATCTATGTTTCTTCTTACTAATAAAAACCACTTTTCTGGGTTTAACTGTCCCATGTCATCCTCCCACAGTAAAAAAACCAATTGCTTTAACCATTTTAAAACTGCACAATACAAGAAGAGCATCTTGCAGTATGAAATGACAAGACCCTGAACTATGAGCTTCTGAACTGACCTTTCCAAAAAGGTCTACAGGCTCTGTTGGATACTTCCTGAACATGCATGCCACTCATGAACACTCCTGAAAAAACTGACTCACCAGCATAAGGACAGAATAACTGAATTGTGTGCACTGTAAGGGCAGCCCTGCTGTGCAAGGTGAAGTCATTCTGCCCACGTGGACGTTGCCAGGCCCTCATGCCATCAGAACAATTCTGAACACTTTTGTTACAATATATAAAACCTGCTGCTCAAATATGGCAAGAGATAATTTCACTAGGCAGCTTTTCAATAAAATACAACTGGAGCTGAGTGGACCTTTCATTTTTCAACATAACAGTAATACTCCTTTTTTTAGCACAACCTAGTGCACTACAGTTTTAAAGGCTTCTCCCTGCACAGGAAAAAGAAACCAGTGACCTACTCACCTATTAGTACTGAATGAAGGCAGAATATTTGCTGATAAAAGGAAGTAATTCACAGCCTTTTCTGACAAATAATTGCAAGATACAGAATATTTTGTACATACTTTCACTTACTTGATTGCACTTTCAGAAAGTTAAAGACAACTTACATTGGCATTACATGTAAATATTTTACTTTCTGTTTAAATTGGTGATCCATGCACAAGAAGCAAACAAAAAATCCTACACCATTTTATCAGAAACCTGTCACATGCAGATACACTAGATAAAACTGTATACAAAATGCATCAACTATACCCACTCTTGCAGCAAAAGGCACTATAGGTAAGTGATAAACTGGCTTCTAACAAACTAAGCCAAAGTGACAAAAATCTAAGGGACACACTGATTAATTGCACAAAATTTCACTGGCTAGCAAAGTTACTGACATGCTACCTGTATTCAGAGAGGCTAACTTGGTATGCTAAAGAAAAAAGCTGTTAGGCAACAAGATTTAAGAACTCCTAGAAGTTTCACTATTTGCAACACACATTAATGGAATAGCAGAGCAAACTACAGAAAACAAAGAACAGTGCATGAAACAAAAGAACAAAGAGCTCTAACGAAATTTTGTGCAACAGACAAATGCTGATACAGTGATCAAGTTACCAGTCTCAAACAGACTGCTCATGTACATCAACATTTATTAATTTGAAAACCTTAAATGCTGAGAAGGTGTAACGGAAAAAAGCCCTACAAAAATCTCCACTTCACCTAGGGATTCTTTTATTCACTTTCCATTTAAAATAAGGCTTTCATTTACTACAGCCTGGTATCCAATAATATACTCATGTATGTAAATGAAAGATTATTTGAACTTTAAAGAATCCTTACCTTCATTGATTTTGGATATATCTACGCTAGAATTATTAAGCTGCAAGGTGGCTTGCAGAGCAGGCAGCAGCTGTCGAAGGAGATTTGGGTCCTGAAGTAATGGAGGAATTGGTGATTGTGGGACAGGTGAAACAGGAACTGTAGGAGCAGATGAAGCAGGCGCAGAAGTTGGATTCAGTCCAGAAGCAGAAGATGTAGAAGGAGTTGTGCAAGAATGGGATACAGACTTGTCCACAGATGCAGACTCTGAACAGAAGACAGAAAGTATTTTTCATTTTCCCCAATATAACCTGACAACTCACTAGTATAATACTCATTAAATTCAGATCAAATGCCTAACTACCATTTTAAGAAAAAAAACCTCACAGCATTAATAGAACAAAAATTGAAGATATCTGATTTCTAATGCAATTAGAAATTGCATTACTACTGAACCTAGTATTTATTATGAGCATACACACGCAACTTCTCCACTTCAAATTTCCAAGATACTGGATGAAAAGCAGCCAGTATTAAAAATGGGACGTTTTTTTCCTTAGCTTTTACAGCAAATGTGGGCCAAAAATGCCTTACTGATCTTCTCTTTTACTGTGCCTACACTGATATTCTACACCTTTACTTATGATTTCAATCTTTCTTTCGAAAATATACTATGAACAAAAATCTTAAAGCCCATGGATTTCACATACAGGCTACCGTGTCAATTTAGAGGTGAGGGTAAAAGCCACGCTTCATTTATGAAGTGACCAGTACAAGAAGCCTATCACACAAAATCCAGCTACACTGCTGAGGATTTAGAAAGGATAATGAGCTGTACTAGAAATGTAAAAACAGTGTTGTTAACATCTCCACAGCAGAGTGGAAAAACATCTAAAAATTTATCTGCTCACAATTAATTTTTAACTTGTCAGCTTCTTCTGACGCATTAGGATCTATACTCTTCATTTTACTAACACCATTTCAGTAAGTATTACTACTTATTACCCACAGAAATACAGAGTACTTAAGTTCAATTATACTGGATGGCAATTTGTTCTGATTAATATCAGTTATTTAATTTATTTTAAATATGACTTCCACCTAACAAAGTTGCTCCTCCATTCTAATACCATGAGAAATCTCTCCTATGAAAGTATTTCAACTTACTATAGGTATACCATCAGTCACTTCAAATATCCTTCCTTTAAGAAACTTGGACCATCATATTTCAATCTTAGCACCCCCTTCTCTCATCCTCATTAAACCCTCAGAAACCACTGCCCCCAAATTCCATCAAGACTAATGCCTTTAGAACACCAAAGAAATCAGTTGTAGAATGTAAAGCTATGGATCCAAGATCTCATGCAGCATGTTTGCCCACAGTAATGAAGACCTGGGTTTTAAAACTACCTCAAACTGGTCAACCTGGATATTTTACGTTTCTGGCAAAATTCTAAATCAATTTGGAAAATGGGCTGAGAAGTTCTTTTACTTTAAGGGTGTGTTTGGTATTTTTATTTAGATAAATAGTCTAAGTAAAAGGATGCTGACTTTATTAGTAAAGAAGTGAAAAGGTATTGTTTTGTTTAAATAAAATGTTACAGAATTTCTAACAGCTTTTGTGTTCCAATAACCTTAACTGCAACTTCCAAGACTAATTTGGAGAAGAACTCTAAAAAAATAAATATAAAAAATTATGGAAGTGAGTAACGATGTGTAAATCTTTTTACTAAGATTTCTAATCTCACTGGGAAGAGGATTTCTGCTTCCATGCTGTTACAGTATAAATAGCTTATAAAGGTCGCAAATACTCTAGAAAACTTCTTCCAGACAAGTAGCTGAGAAATCTAAATCAAAAAAGCTGCTGAAAAATCCAAATTTGAAAGCTTGCAAGGATGCAACAGCCTGGACATAAAGACATATTTTGGAGTTTCAGGCGAACTTCTGAAAAAGATTGTGCCCATATCAAGTTAGTCTCCTCAGGGTTGGTTGCAATGCATCTGTGAAGGGACCTGGTCATTTGACCAGGAGTTATCCTAAAGAACAACTTTAAACCGGACAAAAAGGGTTACAAAGATTGAAGATAAGGAAAAAAGAAAAACAAGTTACAAAATTTCTGTATGGTTTTCAGTAACAGGTGAACTAGGACAGCTGATTAGGTATTAGTTACCATTAAAACACCAAGTCATTAGTAAGAGTTTTTGTTACAAAGTACTGTGTATAAAATCTTATAGTGCTCAAAGTAAACATTAAGACAACTGCAGGTCAAGACACATCTAACAAACAAAGAATCTTATCATACTAAACAAAAACATGTGAAGTTTAAATTGAACTTGGATCTGTCATAGTCCAAATAAGATCAAGATACACTGGCAGACAAAAGCAAGGGAAATAAGCACAACGGGGCATGTTAGTACTTATATGTACAAGCCTGCTACCTACAGTTTTGAGAACCTTACCAGAAAAACAACTGTTTAAAAAAAACCCAAAACACAAAACACCCTTATTTCAAAATGAAGTAAGAATACTGAGCAACTGCCAGCACTAAATCTCAAAACATATTTAATGTATTTAGGTTTGTCTTCACAGTTAAATATTAAGTTATTTTAAGTAAAGAAGCAATTCAATACTGTATTATTTATTCATATAAGCAAATACCTGACCCTCAAACCACACCACCAATATCAAACAGCTGGCAGTGCTTTTCACCCATGCTGCAGTTCTGAACAGAAAATGTACTGAATCAAAGCTAATAATGCAGTTAAAATAAACCTTATAGCCACCCAGTCCTGGGTATTCAATTATTTCTTGAATAACACAACGCAAAACATGTCACTTAAAACCACTGAATTCCATGAGGTCTGTAAAACTACTTTAGTTTGAGTTTTTATGCTCTAAAAATGCACACTGAATTGCATTGACACAATACAGCCAAGTTATTTCTTTCAGACAATACGGAGACACAATTTCATAGTTGTATTACTGCAGGTATTTTAAATATGTGTTAAAATGTATCTGTGAAAGGTATTTTTGTACAATCACTCTATTAAACCTAGAGAAAGGATACAAAGCAAGAATAATGCCTAATGCTAACATTCCAATCTTCTGAGATGTTCAACAACTCAAAAGCAAAACACAAAATGTCATGAAAGAATACATCTCTATGATTATGACATGTACATCACATTAGAACTGGTATTTAACAGCATAGAGGATGCAGAGTAAAATGCCTGTTCAGAGCATTACACAAATTAATTTAAGTTACTACTACTGGAATTCAAGCTACAAACCTGTTTTTTGGAAAAAAAAATAAAAATTAAACCTAAACCTGTAAAAATAGTAGAAATTCAAGTATTTCTTGTTTGTATTAAGTAGCTGTGCTAGTTCTGGCCAGGACAAGGTTAATTTTTGGAGTAGCCAGAAGGGTTGATTATTCTATACCACCTAACTTCATTTCCAGGGGCAGGGGTAATTTTATTAATTAAATATTAATAAATATTAATAAAAGGGTGTACAAGAGGGATAATTAGTCTCTCTTGTATACTCTTTTATTACTATTGTTGCTGTTAGTGTTCACTTGTTATTTCATTGCTGCTCCAGTAAATTTTTCTTATCTCAACCTGCAATCTTTTCCTTTTGTGCCTCCAATTCTCCTCTCCAGCCTGTCACAGGGGAAAGAAGCAGTGAATGAACATGGGGAATACTGATCATAAAACCTCAATAGCCTTATCTGGCACCCTAAGGGGTACAAAGGGTTGAGATAATCAGATCTGACCAGAGCACTTTGAAACAAATTTGATTCAAGCATTTGTTGCACTAGGCAGGGAGGGAGTGATTACTGTGCTGCTTGGTCTGTTCTCGTGGTTGTGGCACCTACCCCTATATATATTCCTGTATATGCTCTGTGTGCTCACCACAGTATTTTCTTCAGAACAGGGAGAGAGAGGGATCAGGATTGCTGTGTAGCTGTATTGTGGGAGACCAGTTTATGATATTTAGGGCACACATCATTTGGGATGTGTGTTCAGTAATGCTCTTTTACCCTTTGGGGACTACCTCTTGGAGTCCATTAAATTGTACCTAATCTATGGGGAAACAGGGGCAGATGATTTTCCCCAGCTTTTCATGCCCTTTTTCTCTTTCAGGCCTGTTAAAACAGCTTTTTAGAATTCTGGATTTCCTTTGGTTGTTAAAAAAAGTGCAGTCTTGTTGCTATGTCTCTTGAGTACAGCCTCTGCCAAGTTTAGAATAAGTGTGGTCCACACCATCTTTAGAGTCAGGAGAGACTTCTAAGGTTTGTCCCACAGGTGGATTGTCATGAGTAACATGGAATGTGGGAGAAAATGGGCCAGTTTTGGGGGAAATTCTCTGCTTCAATGGTTTGGAAGTTCACCCCTGAACAATTACAGGACCCCAGTAAAGCAACAGAGTATTTTCAAGGAGGATGGTGTGACATCTCCAGAGGGGAGAAAAATCATTGCAGTGTATTGGGCACTGGCTAGTCTTTACCCCAATTTCAACAGTAGACAGTCCCTCAGGGAGAACAGGAGGAAAATGCACAGGCACTGACATAACTCAAACAGCAGCTGGACCAGAGGAAGAACCTGTGCCAGTAGCAGTCACCCCCATACAGAAGAATAAATCCAAGATCAAATCAGTTCAGTTAGTGAGGGATGAAGAGGAAGGAGAACCCTCACAACAGAAGAAGAGGAAAGGCCAATGAAAATCATCCAGTCCCTGAGTTGTGAGATATGCAGAAAGATTTCAGCTGCCAGTCAAATGAACCCATGGTGACCTAGCTGCTCCAATGCTGGGGTATCATGGCCCATGATATGAAACTAGATGGTAGTGAAGCCAAGCAACTGGGATCTCTGTCCTGGGACATGGGCATTGAAAAGGGAATTGGAAAGAGGACAAAACTCTCAGCCTCTGGAGGTGACTCCTGTCATGCAGGAGGGAAGGTGCTATCTCAAGGACAACCTAGTAAGGCACCCCAGTAGGTAGAATGCAATGGAAAAAAGGTATCCAGTACGTGAATCAGATGTGCTGGAGGTAATCTACAGAGATTCAAATAAAGAGCAGTCTCCTGTAGATTCATATCAGGTCCAGTGCACACAATCCATGCAGCAGAAGTTTGTACAGAGCATGCCACTGTCATATGCCAAGTCACTGGCATTAATGTCAATGAACAGTGCTTCATGTGACGACCCAACTCCAGCAAAATGAAGATCATCTCGACCCACACCTCAGCTGTGGTGACTGTCCAA